GTTACACTCATCTTACTACCTAGCCGGTATTTACCTTCCCTTAGTGCCTTCACGGAGAGATTATTAGGCATAATGAAACATTAGCTTTTTACCCCTAAATTAACCAGCTCCATTGATCTTCGTTAAAAAATTCCCCACCTTTAAAGGAACCCCAAGATTCATTACCATATTCACTAGAGATCACCACTCAACCCTATAATAAGACAGATGAACCCACTCCACATACTTACAGCCTGCGTTCCGCAAGATCCATTTTAATATCATCCTTAAATCTATATCAATGTAGTACAAAATGTACTATTCCCGTTAGGATTTCAAATTAATATTCTGCACCTCCCTCGACTGGTGTGATGTGTGCTACATGCCCAGCCCATAATACTTATCTGTCAAAATTGTTAATACTTATAAATGTTACGCAAAGACGTTAGTTCCAACGTTGTTGGGAAAACTTAAGCAAGGACTGGTCTATATAATTCATGTGCAAACCACAACTACATGTAATCGTCTCTCTCTCTCTCTCGCAAGCGCACACAAACACACACGAGTTTCGCTGATAAATCCTCCGGGCAGGGCAGCCAGCAAACATGTCTTTTGTAGTTAGAAAAATATCAATGCCTGTAAGCTTTCTTCCACACATGAAGCAAGAAAATCGATGACGTCGCTGGAAAATAGATTTTCCCACGTACAGCTTTCAAGGAGATGTACACATATGTATTCAGCTCAAGATAACAACGTGAAACTATCATGGAGCCTGGAAAAACTCGAAAATTAAAAGGAAAAATCTTTCAAAACACACAGTATTAAATCCAAATTCAATTGCATTTTTCGAAATCTCCGATACATTTCTATAAAAGACTACATATAGTCTTCAATCTAGCTGCAGTCCTTCGACTTATCTCATGTATCTACACGATTTATAGACATTTGTAAATAAAATACATTTTAATGTCACTTGGAATGCTGCATTGGTCCGTTCTTCTAATTTAAAATCTACAAATAGCTGATATCCTGTCCATAAAGCTAGATTTCTTTTCAAAATACATCGAAGGCAAAAATAAACTTATTCATAATTCTGAACCGTATAATGGAGGCACAGTTTCTTGGTAAACCATTTGCTACTATGATTTATACTTGTTGACTATTTCATAAGGCATTTTGTTCCTTTATTCAAATTTTGAAGTGGCAACTGATTTTATTGAAATCAAGTCATTAAAGTTCTGTTCCCTTATATAAGAGACTGCGACAATGAACCAAAAGATGACCAATTAAGGTCGAAACATGTACCGGATTTTTAACAAAACAAAAATTGCTGTGTAAACGGACTGTCAACCTAACGGGCTAATCCATTTTTCTGAAACATTGGTTCCCAATTTCTTTTTTAATCGATGCCACAAACACGAGATACGAAGAACGTATCTCGATCGTAACATTAAATGGCGTAAGTACACCCTACAGCCATATACAAGTATAATATTTTGCTGTCGTAATGGACTCGCACGTTCAACCCTATTTAACATACGCGCAGCGTAAAACAAAATGTTCACAAAGCAGAAACTACCAAAATAAGTTGCACGTTAAACTGTGCTTATGACCGTGTCGTGTTATAAATGGGCCTTAAAATACAGCCTACAATTTCAGATTCACTTTCAATTAGATACACTTGGCATATCTTAACACACGAAGCAATTACTAAAAGACATATAGCGGCCATTTGTTAACTTGCATTATTTTACTGGCAAACTTACAGTACCACGTAACTTCTATATACAGACACACACTTGCTGAAAATTAGAGCACGTTCCAGGCAAAAGCGATGGGATGTGGTGGGTTACGGAGAGTTGATTACCGCCCACCTAGCCATGAACTTATGCAACACACAACACAGAGAAGCCAAATGTTCATCCTCACACGTAGAGACTCTATAACGCTGATACGTAGACATGAAAAGGTCTATAAAATAAAAAGAGAGAGAAACATGAAAAGAACAGGGAGAGGATAAAAACATCGTTGAAAAGCCAACAAACGTCTGGATTCTAAACAGCTATGGAGATGTAAGAAGAAGCTTCTATTTTCTCTTGTAAGGCGCAGAGAAAGAGTGGTTAAGGCAACGTCGTAAACCCAGCCTACTACGCCAGTTCTTTCGTATATTTAAAAGATGAATAGGACCATTCCCCATAGATTCAGTTATCTTTGAAGACGCCTAGATAAAAGAGAGAATATAGTGCACTCTCTACAACACCCGGCACCACGATAGCTGGTGGCAGGAGGGGCAGTTAGAACGGACATACTCCAGAACAAAACCGGTTCGCCTCTATTACACGCCAGGGTCATTACGTAAGACTTACAGCGGGGACAGAAACAGAATTGCCAAGTGCAGTGGCACTGTAGTTACGTGTTAAGATTGTTTGTATTGGAGCGTCATGTTGCGGGGAAATTGCATGTATTATTAAATGACTGCATATCAAGTCTTCTATATGTGCACTTGTTCCAATTTACTCACAACTTAGTTTCTCACTTATGATGTACTTCAGACATATGATCGCTGTAGATAATTAAGAATTGATGATTGTTATAAAAGAAAAACTTCCGAGGAAAGTAACAGAAAGGAAAACAAAGATGGAAAATGAGAAATGAAAAGGAAAAATCAGACAAAATTAACGATCTAAATATACAAACAAAAATATAAAATGATAAATAGTTTGTATAATTACAGATATAATGGCGAAGCACACGCTTAAAAAAGTGAGAATGAAGTGTGCAAAACCGCGAACAGAAGGATAAAGAAGAAACGAGAAGCGTTGAAAGGCGTAAGGAGGCCTGCTCAAAATGGTCCATCACACGCTGAAGGCGCATCAAGCTGTCGATTGTAATCCTGTCGGCGAGATATCGCGTCCCGCAACGTCGTAAATCTTGCCTCCCCGCCCCCAAGCGTGACGGAATCAAGGCAATGGCTCCGACGTTTCCATTTTATCAATCATCTCCAAACGGCAAGTGTAACTGAAGTATTTTTTTCTGTTTCCATTGTACGTAAGAAAACTTCGTTCCAAACACTGCTTTCGGTTAGTGGTATTAAAAGCCTTACTAGCTTGAAACATGCAAGTTTCTTAGAGTGACAACGACATATCTCCTGCTTCTATACGCTGGGATAACTGCTATTACATGGTTTTATCCTACACACAGAATCGTGATATTATTAGTGCAACGTTTTATTCTTGTAATTATTCTTTCTTTCGTAGTAGAAGTACAATCCCACACGAACTACTTTAAACAAAAGCAATAAAACGAAAATATTAAACCTTTACAGCCCAGTGGTAACTACACGTACCACCTAGGTCAGCATCTTTCTACTACATGGTGTATTTATTAATATCGTATGATTCTCAACGCACACAGCGATCATATCGAAGAAGGCTGTCTTCATAATCACGGCCGTGAGGACCTTAAATCATACTACAGCAATCACTTATTTAAATAGTGCTAACCAACTGATCTTTGCAATGGAGACGGGTTGTTTTCTTTGCGGTTCGGGCTGAATTCTTACCTTATTTACATAAGTTTCGGCTTCAAATATGTGTTCTTTGTTAAACAAACGTGTACCGAGCATACACGCCTGACTAGTATCTACACAATTTATAAATTTACCTACAATAATGCATAACGAATTAAATACAAAGAATTATTTACACATTAATACACTCTTACGCTATTTAATAAGTTTATAATCACCGAATTGTACAAGTAAAGGTTTTAAAAGTCGCATTTCATGCACTTGGAAAATATTTGTAGTCCATTAGATTGTGTGCATACTTTGTTTGGATCGGATTAAAAATCTTTTTGTATGAATCACGATAAACTTTGTGGCCAAGTTATCAGGATAAAATGTCCAGCGTAAAGACCAAGACTAGACGAAGAATATTCGATTAACCAGACGGAGTATTCTTACACAAAGGAGGAATTTGGCTGGTGGTATAAAAAAAGGGAGAAACATCGGATCCAATCAAAGGCAGGCTCTGCTCTGGACAGAGCAGGGGCTGTAATCTCCTCCGATTGAATGACCAAGGTTTCCTCCTCCTCCTCCGCGGCGACTCCTTCTGCGGACAAGGCAAACGGTCGGTCATCCCTATCCCTCAGAAAAAGAAAGAGAAATGGGGATTGTTCCATCCCTAACTTCCCTACCCCAACATCGACTTTCATTCCAACCCATCTCTCGGGTTCGGACAGTCGTGCGATGTTTAAGTCGCACCTCCGAGGTTCAACTCCAGTTACCGCAGCATCGAATGATTCTCGAGCTATTCAACGAAACTTTTTAACCACACAAGTTACAGGACTACTTCGGTGACAAAGCAAGAAGAGTGTAGTTCTTTACGCCCTCGAATGACGGGCAACCGTAAGTGATAAATTGTTGAGAACGCGTAAGGAATCGGTCGTGGCGTATTTTTAACAGGTTTGTCGTTTCTGCTACGATTTCTATCACAGGAGAACTAGCTACTTCTATTATCAGTGTCAGCGCTGACCAATAATTTAAATGTAAACAATACTTCTCCGCCGATATATTCTTTAATACAGATTATATGTGGCATTAATCGCCCTGACAATGTGGGCAGCAAGTAGCTTTGAAACGTCAGCAAACATCTACCAGATTAAACGGTCTAGCTACCCAGAAGGCAGCCATCTTTATTTCACATTTCTTTCAATGTTGTATTCCCCCGCAGAAGACAGATCAGAGCAATTCTAAAGAGATTGTACGACGTTTCTCAATTTGATTTCAGAACCACGGATATGGGTCACTTATCGCTTTGGTTCAGGCAGCTTTGCTTTCATCACCTCCGTCCGCATCATCTTCATCTTCTTCTGTCTTCCCAAGTTCTTGTGCGTCTTTGTAAGCCCAAACAATGCATCAGGATCGCAATTTGGACTGGTCTCGGGAAACACAATGAAAGCTCTTGTTGTTGTTGTTGTTGTTGTTGCCTGGATATTGTTGTTGTTGCTGCTGCCTTTGTTCTTGTGTCCATTACTCTAGCCTTCACTTGTTCTGATAACGTAATACTCAGTTAACAACAACGCGGCACCAGAGGGAAACTTCGACGAACAACTTATGACGTCTACTTGCCTTCCAATGCTTTAAGATAAACAGCAAAGCTAGTAAGAACTTTACATCAATAACTATATAATTTCGTGATTTCTGTGCATGATTTATCCTTGTAGAGTCTCCAAATTTCGGCTTTTGTTAAACTTAACAAGAAAAGGAAAGATTTCAGGTTATCATGGCAGCGGAGACGTTTCGCCCCCACTAACGCCCTGATGAAGGAGGCAGCAAGCACCTCTGTAACGGCGGTAGACTTCTACCAGACGACACGGCGCAACACCTCAGAAGAGAGGTATAACCTCAAGGTGTCTGCCTTCCAGTCTGTATGGAAACACACAAGAACGCGTTGATTTGCGAATTAATGTCTGATTGTGGGCTATCGTCTTGAAACATATCACAGGAAAACTTAAACGTATCATTAGACACCATAATTAACATGATAAATTTTGTGAGATCACGTTTTTATAGTGAAATTCTGAGGTTTTCATCTACGTGAACGTGTCACTAATGTTCTCGGTTGTGGCGTCACGTTTACTTGTGGATGGATGCCTGTTTTTCGTATAAACATACTGTCTCCATCATCAGAGGTGAAAGATGAGACAATATTCATATCCTACATGTTGATATCTACCTATAAGTTCACATTGCTTCACAACCCAGAAAAATACCGACACGAAAAGAATTACCACAAGGAACGTTGGCAGACCTGGTATTATCGGAGAGTAGATTATCCCTTGACGTTCTTGATGGTTCTATTGTGATTCTTACAGATTCCGTTGTTCCTGAAAACAGTAATATCTAATACTGATATATGAAACGGCATTGCATGACTCACTCAACCTTTGCTGCAGAACTGAAGCCCAGTCCAAACATCGGAAAGAAAGGCCGCAACAAGGCAGACCAGGAAACACGAGAAAAAGAACCTCGAATCGAAGAGTAGTCGATACTGAAATTCCACAAGGGCAAGGACGAAAACTAATCTCAAAAATGTCTCTCGAGTTCTGGCAGTACAAAAGAAACTTCTCACCCCATCTATGATGAAGGTAACCGTTTCTATGCCAGTTTTGGTTTACAGAAATCTTCCTCTGGGCGTGAATATCCGTAACAATGTAATTACTATTACCGAAATTATACAAGTAACTATTATTATTAATACTGAAAACAAATTTTTGTTTTATTCTAGTCAAATACAGATCTATATATTAAAGACTACACATAACAGAACACCGAGATTTTACGTACCAAATGCCAAAGCTAGTTGCTGCAACAATTCTGAAGCAGTTCCACTACATCCCTTAAGCGTAACCAATCTCCTTACTTCACACATCACAGTACTGTCGTCCCAACTAATTTTCTGTCTTCCAAGTAGACGATTTCCAAAACATTTCCTCACAAACATTGTGTATCCATTTCTTCTTTCCCCATTCGAACAAAAAATTCAGCCCAAAGTAAATCCTTTCCCTTGACTGCAAGTAATAACACACATATTTTAGACTGTAAAAATATGTTTATCACCGATAAGTATACACCAAAATTAAGTTAGATTAACAACATTTAGCGTACATTCAATCACATAACCCCAAATTTAATCAAAATCTGAGAAGAAAATTTAGAGATTAAAAATGCGGGAGGAGAGACACGTCTCCCCATTACGTGCTCACTTGGTGCTCTTTGGCAAAGAGCGTAAGAGAACAGAAATTTTTAGTATCTATAAATCATCCATCAGTCCATAAACTCATAATCATCTGGAAGACAAACTCGACTGAGGTTTCTCCTCCTGCAGTTTGTGAGAGCTGTTATTTGACTCTTAACAAACGACATATATTTAATACGACAGCAGACATATCAGCCATGTACGAATCCCATTAACCTGGGGGTAACCGTCCCTAATAAAGTGAACAGTACGCCCGGGTTCGTAAATATAGAGCCGAATATACCACCACGTCGTGACACTGTATATTACGTTGAATTTAATTAGTTGTCAGGCTGCGAACTCAGTTGTTCCACGAAGTGGTTAATTCTTGACCATTCCCATGAATAGCTTAGTTTCATTAAATGTGCCGCACATGCGTTCGCAATTCTACAAACTGCCACATCAGAGACAAAGAGACACTGTGCCCTAGCCTCTGAATCACGCCCAAAAAGAGGCAGCGAGGCCTTCACAAACAAATTTAATGCTCACTGGACCCATGAAAATTGCATTTTTAACCGCCGCCGCAACACCTGGCAGTCGCTCAACCGATCCAGAAACACCCTGACTTATGAAACCAAAATGTTTGACGCCGTACTCATGAAAGAACACCATCAGCACGAAGGTGCGAACAGATACCCCTTCTGAGTAAACTCGCTCCAGTCTACACCCTAACATAGACCAACACGAGATGTCCTTGGTCTCATAAGTCGTCTTTTTATATACAAGGTTTTATAAAAAGTGCAAGCATTTTTATATCTGTAAAAATTGTATTTTTGACTTTGTCCATCGTCTATATTTCAATAAAAATACATTTAGGAAACTGTATCTTCTTCAATCAGGTGAAAAAGCTCTGAGGCTAACTCAACCAGGGGGGTCCGACGGCTAAGGTTTATCTCTTTCGCCTTTCTTCCTGTAGACAGAAAAAGATCAAACCTCCGAAAAGTTGCAATTTTATTGCAACATAAACGACGGACACAAATTATAACCCACCATTGTCTAAAACGTTAAGACTTCACAAAGAAATTTTTCATATACAAAACTAGATAAAGAGTAATTACCCCTCTTATCAATTTCCTTCACCGCTAACATAGGCAAGTATTATTTTCAACACACTGCCCTAAAAACCCTTTTATCGCAGTTCTTCCCTCACAATGGGACAGCAGCTACAACACAAATAACGCTTTTAATTGTTCAGGTAACAGTTATTTGGGGGGTCTAAATATATAACAGGGTCTCAACTGAATAAAAGCGAACATTCGCCGACTTCATGTCGCTGTTAATTTCCTCATGAACGTACTTCCTATATGTTACTGTCGTTCTCAAAGCACTGCAACAATTTATGGCTCTTGGAACAAGAAATGAGGAACAAGAGAACATACATACAAGAACCAGAAAAAGTATAATTTCGTCTTACAGTACACTGGAACTTAAAACGCTATAAAAATATTCTGGATACCCATGGGTTTGCAGCTTCACTAGGAACTTCCTTGAGATGGAGCCAAGTCTTGAAGGCGTGGAAGGGGTTGGACGCCACCAGTTTTAAAGAAGAACGGAACATTCAAATTAGTCCGGAGTTCCGGGGGAGGGCGCACGTTAGACAGTTGGTTATAGTAGTAGTATTATTATACACATTAGCGTGGGAAGCATACAGAGTACATGGAATATTTCCAAGAGCATCACATACATACACATCATTCATTACGGCGGACAGACAGAGTGTAGAATAAAATCATGTTAGTTAATTCGTGGATTCGTGTAACTGGCGCGGCCTCCGACAGCAACATCTGTCCAAAAACACTCTGAGACTCGAACAGAAATTCACTGCCCTATAAAAATATAGGAGACGAAGTGTACTCCAATGGACTACATATATAATAAAAGTGTGTTTAGTGTTTTTCAATGCCTTATTGTCCATACACTGCATACACAAATATCTTGTTATAAAACTAACCGCAGTGCAGAATGAATGGAAATATTTCCCATTACATTTCATTGAACCACTATTAAGGTTAAGACGTACAAAGGAAGATGTCCTGGGAACACAGGATGGGAAGGTGCGTATTGGGTCCATATGGCTCAGTGTCTTTTTTGTTGATAAAACTGATAAAGTCCATTTGAGTTTTCACTTCAATTAATCGTTATATTACCCCCAAAACAAAATTGTCAACATAAATTTAAGTGTGAGATCCCAATGCTAATTTAATCGATACTAGTTTCAGTAGTCTCGGATATAAAACATGCGGATGGACGTACAGATATGACGTCGCAATTACGTATTCAATTCGTGGACCTGTACAGCAAACAAAGCTCATAAAAAGCATTATAAGGTGAAAAACATAGACTGCGAACGCTCTCCGTACAAATTTCTTCCAGCAGCTTAAACCAGCAACATTTGAACGCGTTTCTTGATTATCATAAAATTAAACGGGAATCCGTTCAACCGTTCTCGAGCTGCTACATGAGCACAGAAGGACGGACAGACGAAGTGAAGGGCTGTGAACTACGAGACAGTGTTTCATACATACTCTATTCTATATTATCACTTTTATTTACAAATATAAAGGCAGTATAAGAACGACAGAGTATAAATGCATCCCACATTCACGACGTAACCGAATTCCCAATACGTAGTCGGTAAGAACTGTGCATGGTATCCCGCATATTCTGAGATTATTTCTCAACACGAAAGTCGACTAACCTGACGGATTTCTCTCAGCTTTTAAGACTGTGTTTGGTTAATGACTTAAAATAGGCCACGGCCTTTCAATTCGTCCAATAAGAATCATTCGCCCATTACACAATACAGATATCTAACGCTGTAGAAACAGGTTCCCTAAATATTTCGTGTTTCGAAGTCAGGACATAATTGCTGCAGCAGTGTCCAGAGTATCTAGATAAAAAACAGACGTGCATGAGAAAGTCAGTAAAATAATATACCTTCCTGTCAGGTTACTTGTACCATGTCCACGAAATATAATCTCAGAAGCGAATACAAATACTTAAATCCTTCAGAAAGTCTTCTTCCGTGGCAAGGTTTCTGTAGCAGAACGCTTCAACGTGTACAATTTCTAACACTTCTCGCGTTACACACACACACAATCACATACACACACAGAGAGAGAGTGAGAATGCTGGCGATCACATTTTCCCGGGAAGATCACATTCCGACACTGCCAGCCACACTTTGAGTCCTTGTCTTCAAACCTCACTGCTTCCTATTTGCTTTTATTCCTTCCCTGCCCTTCACTGCCATGTTTTACTTTGAGACTACCTTCCTATTTTACACTTTAAACTTATAACAAGACACATTCATGAATATCATTTCCGTGAAGTCTAAAAACTCAGTACCAAACGACCTACGAGCACTTGCTTATTATATTAAATTAACTACCAGTTATGAAGTGCCACTAATAATTTACAACACGTAAACAACACTGACGTCTAAACAAGATAACCGACGTAATATTTTATTTACAGTTCAGAATTTGTAAAGAACGCATGTGTAGTATATCCCGGTAAGGTAAACAAATTCCATGATTTGTTTCCTTAAACAACGTTATGAAAATGATATTGGTAATGGAGAAGTGTCGTGTTTTCGCTTTTTTTAACTTTAATCAGACAAGCTTCGGCTTCCAAGGAATAATGTCACTAACAAGAGGGAACACGGAAAGTGAGATTGCTGGGATTCAAATATATGTGGCGGATTATCTAAAACGAAGGGGCAGAGATTAGTTATTCTTCCTTTCGGTATAGCAGGCAGCGGATTCATGGGAGTTGGCTCAGGCAAAGTTCATGACAACTCAAATGGCGCCGATAATACCTGCTGGAGATATGGGAATACGGGAGGTGCTGATCCAGATGCGGGTGGGTCTATTGTAGACAGACGACGGGAAATTACGCCATTAGTCTAGAACGCCTCAGTCTGCAGAATAAAAGTTTAATTATCCGTGTGCTTAAATACCATGCCAGAAAGACATATCACAGCCCTGGATGTAAAAGTTCAACAGATTTTAAATCTTGGTATACATGAAAGATGAGAAAGCATCTCAGCTTCACGATAATGCCGTCTTTCGACCGACTGAAGTGATGCGGTACCCAATACACAGGAGCAACACTTATGTTTGCCGTCGAAAACTATCATCTCCCTTTCTATTTAATTAAATTTACACTACATAGAAAAGTATAACAAAAGGTGTAGATTTTCTTGAGAAATCTGATATATCACGTTTCAAGTTTCATTTATATCAGGAGTTACATATTTCCAACCAGCCAGAACAAAGTTCCAACGTTTTGTTCAATCTCTCCAATAACTTCTATACATATCGATCGAGTTAGTTTTTGAGATAAAACATGCAGGCAAACAGACATGGCCTCAGTAATTTGGACCCACGCCATTTTCTGCTTGTAAAGTACGCA